AAAGTACACCCATTAGACGTCTGACTACGGACCATCCAGAGATAATACCGCCCTGTGCCGAAGCAATAATATGGGTACCAATGAATGGAGATTGTGGAGCCGAGAAGTTGTGGGTGGTGGAACCTGCAGAAAACAGAAACAGTAACATCCTAATAGCGAATGCCCTGGTGAAGAGCAACAAGGACGGATTAATTCCTGTTAGAGTTTTGAACCTGTCAAACAAGCAAGAGCAAATTTGCCAATTTTCCGATGTTGGACAATGCACACCAGCTGAAGCTGTAGTTAATTTGGAAACTAGCACCGAAAAGCCAGCAGCCATGGAGAAGAAGCACCTCGACGGCTACATAAAAGAGTGGACACACCAATTATCACCTTCCGAGAGGAACAAGGCTAAGCAGCTATTATGGAAATATGCCTCTACCTTTGCGTTGACAAAGGAGCACCAGGGAAGAACATCAGTGGTGAAGCATGAGATCCATACAGCAGACGCGAGACCCATTAAGCAGCCTCCAAGAAGTGTTCCCCTGGCGAAGAGAGACGAGGTCCAGAAGCTAATAAGTGAAATGGAAAAGAGTGGTGTAATAGAACCATCGTCAAGTCCATGGTGCTCCCCAGTGGTATTGGTCAAGAAGAAAGACGGAAGCACCCGATTTTGTGTGGACTACCGAAAGTTGAATGATGTCACCAAGAAAGACAGCTATCCGCTCCCAAGAATCGACGACACATTGGACACATTAGCCGGGACGTCATGGTTCTCCACCCTCGACCTGCAGAGTGGGTACTGGCAAGTAGAGATCGCCGAGAAAGATAAAGAGAAAACAGCGTTTGGCGTTAATGGGGGTCTCTGGCAGTTCAATGTCATGCCATTCGGACTCTGCAACGCCCCGGCTACATTTGAAAGGCTGATGGAGCGTGTGTTAAAAGGGCTGCAGTGGAAGTCGTGCCTCATATACCTGGATGACATCATAGTCATGGGACGCAACTTCGACGAACACGTCAAGAACTTAAAGGATGTTCTACAGCAGCTTTCGTCTTCAGGCCTCAAGCTGAACCCAAAGAAGTGCAGTCTCTTCCAACGAGAGGTGAAGTTCCTGGGGCACCACGTGACGCCGGAGGGCATATCGACGGATAAGGAGAAAATTCAAGCCGTCAGAGATTGGCCGCAGCCCCGAAATCTCCATGAGCTGCGAAACTTTCTGGGTCTCTGCACATACTACCGTCGATTTGTCCCAAATTTTGCCAACATCGCCGCCTGTCTACACCGCTTGACGCAAAAAGGCCAGAGGTTTCAGTGGGGGAACGACCAAGAAGAGGCGTTCGGTAAACTCAAAGACATGCTATGCAGAGCCCCCATTTTGGCATACCCTATACCTGGCGGAAAGTTTGCTCTGGACACAGACGCAAGTGCGTGCGGCATCGGTGGCGTCCTTTCCCAGGACATCGACGGACAGGAAAAAGTCATCGGGTACTACAGCCGGACATTGTCGAAGCCTGAGAGGAATTACTGTGTGACGAGGAGAGAACTGCTTGCTGTCCTTGAGTGCGTTAAACACTTCCACAAATACCTATATGGCCAGCATTTCCTGCTGAGGACCGACCACGCTGCTCTCCAATGGTTGCTGCAGTTTAAGAATCCGGAAGGTCAACTAGCCCGTTGGATCGAGAGGCTCCAGAGTTATGACTTCAGAATCGAGCACCGAAAAGGCGGAAAGCACGGTAATGCTGATGCCCTGTCTCGTCGGCCATGCAAGGTAGAATGCAGGCACTGCTCAAAGGCTGAGTGCAAAGAGAATATCGTTGATGTCCGATTATTGCAGTTTGAGTCGGGTGAAGATTGGTCGACGGAACAACGAAGAGATCCCATTCTGGGCAAAATAATTTCGGCCATAGAAACGGGCAAGCGACCTAGTCGGAAAGATATTACCTCCGAAAGCCCTCTTTTAAAATCCTATTGGGCCCAGTGGGGCAGTCTACTTATAATGGATGGTTGCTTATATCGCAAATGGGAAAGTGAGGACGGTAAATCTCACCGGAACTTGATCGTCGTCCCAGACTCCAAAATAAGAGATGTCTTGTCGGAGTTTCACGATGGGCCAAGTGGAGGACATCTTGGCATAGCAAAGACCGCTGAAAAGGTAAAGCAGAGATTCTACTGGGTCGGCTGTCAAAAATCCATTGCCGACTGGATCGCCAATTGTGAAAGGTGCATAAGAGCTAAAGGTCTAACACGGAAGAGTCGGGGCTACATGCAGCAGTATAATTCAGGAGCCCCGTTTGAAAGAATTGCAATGGATGTAGCTGGACCGTTCCCAACAAGCGACTCTGGGAACCGGTATGTCTTAGTGGTCATGGATTACTTCAGCAAATGGCCAGAGGTTTATGCTATCCCAAATCAAGAAGCCAGGACAATTGTGGATGTGTTCAGCAAAAATTGGATTTGTCGCTATGGTGTTCCATCTGAGGTTCATTCCGATCAAGGTAGGAATTTTGAATCAGCGATCTTCAAGGAAATGTGTGACTCCTACGGAATCAAGAAAACCAGAACGACGCCCCTACATCCACAATCAGATGGCATGGTGGAAAGATTCAATCGCACCCTGGAAGAACATCTACGGAAAGTGGTGGACAGTGGCCAACGAGACTGGGATGAGCATATTCCAAAGTTTTTACTGGCTTATAGATCGGCCATTCATGATTCCACATCCCGGACCCCAGCCAAAGTTCTGTTCGGAAATGAATTAAAGCTACCTGGCGATTTGATATTCGGTGCTACCCCAAACGACGATGTGAACCAAGAAGAAGACAGTCAGAACTCTTTTAGTAAAGTCCACGATGCAGTTCGCCATCGAATCAAAATGGTTAGCAACCGCATGAAGGCAAGGTACGATCGAGCGGCAAATACCGATGGGTTCCAAGAAGGGCAACTGGTACTATTGTTCGACCCACAACGAAAGAAAGGACTTTGCCCCAAATTGCAAACGCACTGGGAAGGACCCTACAAGATTGTCACGAAAATAAATGACGTCGTTTATCGCATCCAGAGGAGCGACAGTCCCAGGTCGAAGATGAAAGTTGTACATTTGGAGCGGCTGACCCCCTACGGAACGGGAACTGTGCCTATTCGGGACGAACAGGCTTAAGCGGGGGGCAATGTTACGAATATAAATTTAGATTTAAGTTAATTTAGATGAATTCCGTTAATTTAAGAATTTGAATTGTAACGTAAATTTCTACTACGCAGTTTATTTGAATAACTTCACAACAACAACTACTGTATAGATTTTTCTACATCCTTCCATTTCCTCTTTCAGTTTCTATTTTGTTATTGTCGTATAATTCTTGTTAAACGTCATCATTGATGATCGCTTAATTCCTCTTTCTTTGTTATTCCCTCGCCTGTATATGTGTTGTTGCTATTCCTCTTTCTTTGTTATTCCCTCGCCTGTATATGTGTTGTTGTTATTCCTCTTTCTTTGTTATTCCCTCGCCTGTATATGTGTGTTGTTATTGTTTACTCAATGTAAGTTTGTACGTGTGTTTGTTGCATTGGTAGATTGTTCGTGATCTAGGTGTTACCAGATCGTCTAGAAACTTCTGTAGCGACAAGCAAGGCTCATATAAATAGGGGAAATGGAAAGGCAGTGAGTCAGTTGTGAATCAGATCGCGAATTGAAACCGTCGTGTAAAGTAAAGTGCAAAGTAAAGTTGTGTGAATAAAGTCATTGTAATAATCGTAATCCGAAAGAACCTGCGTTTTATTTGGTACGAATTGTATCGGGGAGTAAAACAACGTCTACACGGGACTAAGTAAAATCCAAGAACGTAACAATATGATTGTCACTTACACCTTATTAAATACACCTTGGACTAAACGAACGAACCTCGTATCGAAATTTATTATCGAATAAAAACTCACTCAATATCAACTGTCATAATTTGCCAATTGTTTATCTCAAACCAAAAGAAAGAGTAAAAAATTGTTTTTGAAACTGGATTTTTTTTTCTTTTGCAAAAGTCGAACATGAGTCCATTATAGTCCTTCAACAATCTCGTCCTAAATGATAGAAATTTGAATCAAAAGGTATGGACGTGGGTCCTAAGGTCCATACCATTATTTCTTTGAATATCAAAATAACACTTCTGTCTATAGGTGTATTTATTTTATAATACTTGACCCTTTCAGTGTTTTTGTCGAAATATTTTTTAAATGTCGAATATATTTAAAATTACTCTCTTCCTTTGCGATTTTTCGGTTATCCTATGTACCGTTACAACTGATGTTTTTGTTTTTGCTGCAAGACAGACAAAACTGTCCGAGGGTTAAAATAAAAATTGATTTTTTTTTCTAAACTCTGTTCCTTTATATGATCTTAAAAACAAAATTTTAGATTTTTATTACGACAAAAATTTTTTTGACTCTGAAAGGGTTAAGAGCATCTCATGCTTTTAAAATCGTCCGATTTTTGTCATTACCTTACTGGGGGTTCCTTTTAAATAATTTAAATTTGTTATTAATATTCAATATTCTTTATTAGTAGCATAAATAAATTAACAGCCTGTTTTTGTAAAATTCTAAACGAACGAATTCGAGTGACTTACGACCAAACCTTTGTTTATGTAAACAAATATTTTTTGATTCAAAACAAAAATAAATGACATATTTTTCAAAACCAAGGAGTTTGGTCGTAAGTCACTCGAATTCGTTCGTTTAGAATTTTACAAAAACAGGCTGTAATAAAACAATACATCTTTCTTGGAGTTGTTTTGAAATTTGATATGATTGCTATTTTCTACATTTTGTGTATAAATTTTGTGCGTAAATAAAGCGCCATACACACACACTTACTATCCGTTTTGTTGAACCGCTTTCTTAAAAAAAAAAACAATCTTAAAGAAACAAAAATTTACAAATGTAATTTGTGGTGTATGGGGTCGTAAGGCAACAAGTTAAGTCATGGTTATTTCATTGCATTTAGTTCGATTCGATTGGTTTTTTTAAGTTACAACTCACATATAGTATACCAACCATTGCATTTACTGCATCGAGTTCTAGCACCAACATTATTGGAATTTAATGACCAATAATATTCTTTCAGGTATTCTAATATTTCCTTTCGTTTTGTAAAAATTTGTTCGTAGGTAAAATGCTGGAATCTGGTTAGTATACGCTTAAGAATACGATATAAAACCGACTCTGTAGATATGGAAAATTGTAAGACATAAACAATTTGATCCAATATATTTTCCATGAAATATTGTGTTAGGTCCAGGACAAAAAGGATTACTTTCTCCGGAAGTTTTGAAGCCATGGTTTCGATGACATCTTGAAATTGTTCACCATCGACAATTTTTGTTAGAAACTTTTCACCAAATCGAGAAAGGTCAATTATATCGCCGTTTGGTAACATCACACTCAAAACTGCAAGTATTTCCGCTGTGCTACGAGAAGAACCACCATTGTCATTTAGAGTATCTTCCAAATTGAGTGCGGTATTTCGACCGGAAACGGAATTAAGGAAAAGCCGTGCAGTTGCAGCAGTTGTTCGGTTCGTTGCAACATTATTATCCAAATGTCCTGCTGGTATTGGTTGTGACACTTGTTTCAATATATTAACATTTTGTCTTAGAACTGCTGTATCAACTAGCATTTCATTATTTAACACAACTCCTTTACCGGATTTCCCAAATGCCGGACGTACTTTCGCTTCGTTTAGTCGCTTATTAACTTTGAATAGATCATTTAGGTATTGACGATCTGGTATTTTATTAATATTTCGTATTATATCAATTTTTCCTTTGGTATTACCGCGAATACGCATTGTTTCCTTGGACATTTTATCAAACATACGCCTAGAAGGAGAAAATTATAGGTTGTTTAATTATTATTTGAAATTGACCGGCCTTATGTAGTGTAGGCATATTTGCATATATATACATTTCCACAGTGTGTACTTGATTAACCCGATGTTGAGTTAGCTCGATGGCTAACTTTGTTCATTACTCACCTCTGACGATTACTTAAAGTTTCACGATAACTTTTAATTGAATTTGTGCGTGCCTGATTTGCAATTTGTGATGCCAACTGGAAGTTATAGACAGAATGTGTAAATAACACCAAGGAAGCCGATAATTGCAGTACATCCAATGTCGAAATTGTATCATCATCTTGGTATTTCTGTTATGAATTAATACATACATGTAAGTATAAATATGTACAACTTTTTATATGCAATCAAAATCATCTTACAAATATTATATCCAAAACACCATTGGCGATGCCAGTTCCCGAAACAAGTATAGTTGATATATTAATGCCGTTAACAATGACTTCAATTGCCTACAAAATATACATATGGGGACAACATTCGATTGAAATAGAAAAATAATGTCAAAAATTAAATAATAATCTACAACTTACCGCCGTGGCATTTCCTGCAGCAGCCATATTATTTAAAAATCGTGTAGCACCAGCCGCTGCCATACCAAGAAGACCACCAGCAATACCCAAATAACTGGCCCTTGCTTGACTATCTGTAATGCTTATGGATTGCTCGTGTTTGCGACGATCATTCAAATTCAATGCTGATGTTACTGTTGAAAAGGCACCGACGCCCAAACCGACTATTCCGGCTGCGGCCATTACCGGAGCGGCAACGGGTAAAGTAAGTGCTGCAGCTATTGGCACACAGGCAGCACCCACACCCAATACAGCGGTACTAGTTTGTGCTGCACTCATAACTTTTGCTCCCGGTGTAGCGTTCGGTGTGCAATAAGCATCCAAAATAACATTGCCATTTATACAGAAATTATAAACACCACGGCGTGGCGATATCATTGTACCGGCCGGCAATACATTGTCATCCAAAAACGACTGCCAATTTTTATAAACACGACCTGTTTCATCGACATACACCATACAACTGCTATCATTATTGGCTGAAATTATGAAAAAAAAAAATGAAAATGAAAATATTGCAGATCAAGGCCCGGTCGCGGATTGTTTTAAAAATTTTTACGGAAGTATGGACTTCCGCAATAAAGGTACATATATTTACACATATATGGTTGTAATCAGAAGCTAAATGTGGCAACAATTTCAAACCAATCCGCGACGGAACCCTAAATTTGAACAGTGAATAGCCACCAACCCACCAATATTGTTTTTGCTTACCAACACATTTTCTACATCGAAAAACCGGATGACATGAATATTTTGTAGAATTTGGTGCAGCAGCGAAATCTTCCTCATCTGTTACCATAACATAAAAAATATAGGTTATGGAATTTCCATTTGTATATTTTCCTAAAAATAATATTTTAGTCGATTTTCATTTATTGAAACCAGTAAGGAAAGTAGTAAAGTCGGACGGGGCCGACTATATGATACCCTTCACCACTATGGGTATATTAAACAGGGCTATTAACATGAAATTGGATGAAATAAAATAAGTGATATTAATCTAAATGTGAATCTAGATCTATCCATAGAGTATGTAAATCGACTTCAAAAAAATATAAATAGGTCATCCGTTGGACGCAACTACGTAAATCTATGCTCAATTTTGTACGTTGTGCAAAATTTGATGTCAATCTGATGCCCAATTTGCTTGATATCGGGCGAAAAAATATATGTAAGCTAAATCCACATATTAAGCGATTTCAAACAAACTTGTCACAGGTTAGATTATACTAACTTTAGAACGTTTTGTTCCTATTGGTTCCTTGGTGCGTCAATTACATAAAATCAATCTATAATAAAATGGAGCTATATCTAAATCTGGACCGATTTTCACGAAACAAGGCAGACATCACTCTAGGCTCAATTCAGTACGTTATGCCAAATTTCGTTCAAATCGAAAGATATCTAGCGACTTTGGTGCACCATTTACATGAAATCGGACGAAACTATATGTGGGAGCTATATAGAAATCTGGACCGATTTTCTCGAAACTTGGCAGACATCACTCTAGACTCAATTCAGTACGTCATGCCAAATTTCGTGCAAATCGAAGGATATATAGGGACTTTGGTGCACAATTTACCTAAAATCGGGCGAAACTATATATGTGGGAGCTATATCTAAATCTTGACCTATTTTCACGAAACTTCGCAGACATCACTCTAGACTCAATTCAGTACGTTATGCCAAATTTCGTGCAAATCGAAAGATATATTGGGACTTGGGACACCATTTGCATGAAATCGGACGAAACTATATATGGGAGCTATATCTAAATCTTGACCGATTTTCACGAAGCTTGGCAGACATCATTCTAGACCTAAATGATTAGGCTGTACCAAATTTCGTGCTAATCGAAAGATATATAGGGACCTTGGGGCCCCATTTACATGAAATCGGACGAAACTATATATGGGAGCTATATCTAAATCAGGACCGATTTTCATGAAACTTGGCAGACATCATTCTAGGCTCAATTCAGTACGTTATGCCAAATTTCGTGCAAATCGAGGGATATATAGGGATTTTGGGGCACCATTTACATGAAATCGGACGAAACTATATATGGGAGCTATATCTAAACCTGGACCGATTTTCTTGAAACTGGGCAGACATCATTCTAGGCTCAATTCAGTACGTTATGCCAAATTTCGTGCAAATCGAAAGATATATAGGGACTTTGGTGCACCATTTACATGAAATCGGACGAAACTATATATGGGAGCTATATCTAAATCTGGACCAATTTTCTTGATGGACCGATTTTCTCGAAACTTGGCAGACATCATTCTAGGCTCAATTCAGTACGTTATGCCAAATTTCGTGCAAATCGAAAGATATATAGGGACTTTGGTGCACCATTTACATGAAATCGGACGAAACTATATATGGGAGCTATATCTAAATCTGGACCGATTTTCACGAAACTTGGCAGACATCATTCTAGACCTAAATGATTAGGCTGCACCAAATTTCGTGCAAATCGAAAGTTATATAGGGGCCGTTCACATTAAATCGGTTAAATATATATATGGGAGCTATATCTAAATCTGAACCGATTTTTCCCAATTTCAATAGGGTTCGTCCTTGGGCCAAATAAGTGACCTATGCCAAATTTCATCCAATTCGGATCATAAATGCGACCTGTACTTTGTTTACAATTTAACATGGACAGACGGACGGACATGCGTAAATCGACTCAGAAAGTGATTCTATGCATATTCTCAAAAGGAACCATGGGTCTATCTCGATTATTTTTGCCTGTTACAAACATATGCACAAAGACATAATACCCTGTACCACAGTGGTGAAGGGTATAAAAATTATATATATATATATATATATATATAACTGTAATACATACTTTGAGCCCAAACACTTTCAAAGATGCTTTCACGCATTTTATCGATGCTATTTTGTCCGGTTTCTTGATCTGGTATTAGTTGTTTGATTTTGGATTTCATAATTGCGCGATCCTTCTTGCTCAATCTGTAAAATTGATAATAGATATAATAATTAATAATATTAAATTTATACAAATGTTTTAAATATAAAATGCAAAAAGTAAAAACGTTAAGTTCGGGGTGTATTATTTACATTAAATCGGCGAAAAGATATATGTGAGCTATACTAAATCTAAACCAATTTTCACGAAACTTTGCACACATCATTCTAGACTTAATTCAATATACTGTGCCTAACTTCGTGGAAGTCGAAAGAGATATAAAATCGGAAGAAAATATAAATCTAAATCTGAACCAATTTTCACGAAACTTAACCCACATCATTCTAGACTCAATTAAGTGAACTGTGTCGAGATATATAAGAAATTTGGTCCACCATTTACATTAAATCGGACGAAAATATAATATTGCCAATTTTTTAACATAGCTGAAGCGGAGGTTCACCCCTTTATAACTCGGGAACTACTTAAGTACATATATGAAAAAAAGGAGAATAATTTTGGGTTAATTGATCTGTCGTTTCAAACTTTTCATGATATTGACCTCCAAACTTTATTTGGGTGGAAGCTGTGTCTACTTTAATGCAAAAAAAAAATGTGTAAAAACAGATTGAGGCGAACCAGTTTTTTTATGTTCTCTATATAAGCCACTCATTTCACGGTCTTCGTGTCAAAGTAAAACTAGAAGGCTGCAAAATGGGGTCTACGTCTCTTATGTATTATTTTTTAAAATTTAACAGCATCTACCTTTAAATAATGCTGACATTTTAAAGCTCGATTTTGAGTGTGTTTTGAATTTTACATCTAGCTTTGATACGCAAACAGCAATTTCTAAAAATCTATTATACGATTATTGTAGTCGCGAATCTGAGTAATTTAATATACATTTTGTGTATGTAGTATGCACAGCTTCAGAGTAATACTATCCAAAGGTGAAAATTTTGTGCGATCAAATATCAAAAAAAAAACCCTTATTTTTAGATCTGTCAATTGAATGATATGGGTACTCGCGATCAGTAAGGTTTTTTACGCTTCGGATGAAATAAAACATTCTTCGTGAAAATCTAACTACTAGAACGGCGGGAACTGTTTTTCCAAAATCACGAAATTTGGCAAAAATATGTTATCATATAATGACCTGATCAATAAATGACCTGATACGGATTTTGAACTTTTGCGAAAACAAAACTTTAAAAACTTCAGTCGAAAGAGAGATATACCCAATTTATCTCAAAAATAGTGTGAGCTGGGTCATCCATGGTTCTTAATGAACCGCATTGAAATAGGTAAAGATCGATGTATTTTTTAGGTTGCGCACCGAAATCGTATGCGCGTTAATGGCATATGGAATTTTCGAAAATGTATATTTCGTAATATTGTTTTAAGATTTATTCTTTTTTATAAAACCCCAGGATTTATTGGAAGGGTCTTGCTTATACAGAAGAAGTGATTATTTTTATACATACAGTGCTGTTCAAAAAAATAGATTCACCCATGGTATAATAATTACAAGGTAGGGCACAGCTACCAACTGATTACAATTTTTTCTCAAGATGGCTTGTTCCATCAAATCAAAATACATATTTTGTGTATGTGTGAGTCTTGGTGTGTGTGTTGTTTTGAATACTATGTCAAATAAATTCAAAATAAATTGAAATATATTCAAATTTAATTGAAATGAATATAATGTTTTTAACACGTTCGTCTGGAAGTAGTTACTTTGTTATGGGTGAAATAAACATTTTATAGTATTCCCTACTGGATTTTGGGAAGAAATCATAACCTCTCCTTCATTTTTCGCGTTTTTAGTTTTGTGTTGAAAAAATGTCAAATAAACACAAACACTTGTTGCGAATATTTATTTTATTTTTGGCAGAAGAAGCCACACGTGCATATTTGCTTTTTTGTTATTCACCTCAAGCTGCTCTCCCTGCTCTCGAAAAAGTTCTTCACTTCTAAATATCATATAGTTAGAAATATATGTAAAAAAGTAACTGCACTTTGTCTTCTTAAATTTATTGCAAATACAAATTTTGTTGTGAGAACACGTGCTCCATAAAATAGATTCCCTTTAAAAATTAATTGATTTTTAAGTTTAATACGCTATTGTTTGAAAGTTATTGCACTAAACGGTAAGTCTGATTAGTTTTTAATATTTATATTAAACAAATCAAATAAAAAATAAAATATTGAAACTAGAAATGGGCTGAGGTAAACAATGCTGTCCTGAAATCATGGATATTATAAAGAAACTTCATAATGAAGGCAAGAGCTATAGACAAATTGCAGCAATTATCGGCTGCTCATATAAAATGGTCCAAAATGCTGTAAATTATCAGTTTAAGCCAGAAACTAGAGGAAAAAAAATCAAAAATCACACCCCTTATGGAAAGGAAAATAGTTCGACATGTAAAAAAACAAAACCATTTTGCAACCTCTTCTGCCATTAAAAAAGAAAATAACCTTGATGATTCTACCCCACCAACCATCAGAAGGATTTTACTCAAATAATTTGAAATCCAAAACCAAAACCTTGAACCTTTGCACTGCGTAAATATTTATTGTTTGTAACGAATATTCAAAACAAATTGAGTGAACGAACAAACGCAACAGTTATTGAGTGACTATCGATCACTGATTGAGTGTTATTTTAATGTTGGTTATGTTGTCTCTTTTATCCTTTAGTTTGCTAACGTAAAGAAAAGCTTTTGTTTGTCAGTTAAGATATTGAGTTAATTTGAATTATATTCGATCAATACTTTTGAAAGCTTTGTTTGGATCGCTATAAAAGGACAATGGTTTTACACAACAGACCTTGATTCTCTTATAGACAATCCATACGGTAAGAAGTAAGTCTTCTTGGAAACATGATAATGTGGCCGGTTGACTTATTCTTCCAAAGCTAATTACATAGAATACTTGGTGAAAGCGATGGCAGTCCCTTGTATTCATGTCTGAGGCATATGAAATAATTGTCAACAATGAAAGATTATTGCTTTTATAAAATATACCGTTTTATGTAGAAAACCTTTGTGTGTTTCATTTTAATTGGAAAATATTCAAAGTCACACACTAAAACCTGCTACAAATAGAATATATTGAACAACGTCATGCTGCCCTATGCTGAATGGGAAATGCCGCTTAGATGATAACAAGATAACGACCCGAACCATACATCGAAACGAGCTAAAGATTGGTTTCAAAATAATGATGTAGGTTTTAAGTAGGGATACGTAGTCGAGCGCAAAAGTCGACTTTTAGACTTTTCGATTTTTGCCTCTGACCAAAAAGACGATTTTTAGACTTTTCGATTTTTGCCTTTGATTAAAAGGTCGACTTTTCGATCTTTCGATTTTGTCAAAACTGTTCCGCAAAATCGACTAAAAATGTGATTTTTTATATAAACTATTATGAACAGATAATGTAAAGTTCCGTAAAGTGCTATTTTTGGGCAATTTGAGCTTTGTGATAAAAAACCAAGTATTTATGAAGAAAATCGAAAGTCGATCTTGAAAAGTCGACTTGGCGATTCTCTCATAGATCAAAAGTCGACTTCGACTTTTAGACTTTTCAATACAAAAAGTCGATTAATCGGAAGTCGATTTACTTATCCCTAGTTCTAAGCTGGCCGGCACAGTCACCGGACTTAAATCCTATCGAAAACTTATGGAAAATTGTTAAAGCATCTCTACGAGGAAAAAAATCCATCAAATAAAGAACAGTTATGGGAGTTAGTAAAAACATCGTGGAAAAACATTCCAATCGAAACATGTCAGAGACTTGTTGACTCTATGCCAAAACGGTGTTCAGCAGTCATTCAAAATAAGGGGTACTCCACTAAGTACTAAGGTAAATAAAGTGTAAATAAAAGAAATTATAAAGTTTTAATTACTAAAAAATTTTTTTCAGAACTCCAAAATCAATGAATCTATTTTATTGAACAGCAAAAAATCTTTTTTAGGGTCGTACCTAAATTCATGCGTATGCGTACGATTTTATTCACCTCAAAAGTAAAATACATGTATTTCAATGAATGTTACCCAAATACGCATTGCGTATAAAAATTTAAAGTTGAAAATTTTCAACTATGACAATGCGTATTTTGAATTTTTTGTTTTTTGAAAATAGAATTCCAGTCAGTATCTGTAGAATGTTCGTTCTCACTCACCAATTGCTTTATGCAAATTGCCCTACGCAAATTGATTTATGCTAATTGCTTTATACAAATGACGTAATCGGTCTGTATCCTCTTGGTGTGTTGTGTGATCATATTGTGTTCTACCTCTTTCCCTCTTATTGTTTTATGCTGTCCGTCTGTTCAATATTTTCTTTCGTCTTTCCCCAATGTGGTTAATTTATAATTGATTTATGCTAATTGCTTTACGCAAATGACGTAATTGGTCCATCTTTTTCCTCTTGGTGTGTTGTGTGATCATATTTTGTTCTATCTCTTTCCCTCTTATTGTTTTATGCCGTCCGTCTGTTCAATACTTTCTTTCGTCTTTGCCCAATGTGGTCCATTTGTATGACCTTGATGACCCTGAAAGTTTATTGGTCCCTGAAATCAATAGCGCGTGTGTCCCATATTTGTTCTTTCCCCTTTGTTCCGTATATTTCCCGTAAGCTTATGTGTGTTTCCCCCTTTCCCTATCCACTTGTTTTCTTTTTTGTCTTGTCCAATGTGGTCCATTCGTATGACCTTGATGACCCTGAATCAATACCGCTTGTCCCATATTTGTTCTTCCCCGCCCCCCCCCCCCTTTCTTCCGTATTTCTTCGGTAAGCTTATATGTGTCCCCCCTCCCCTATTCACTTGTTTTCGTGATGCAGTGTCGCAGTGCGGCTACCGCTCTTGCCTACATTTATCCCCCCCCCCTTCTCTACCCACTTGATTTTTTTGGTTGCACAATTTTGTGAAATACATGAAGCAGTGTCTCATATGACTGTCTATTGGAACAAGACTCAATCCGATCATGGGTGTCTTATCAGAAAGAATTTGTT